AAAAAAAAAATTCTGTCAGCATAGAATTCTATAGAGCTTTCAAAAATAAAAGCACAGTAAGACTTTTTTCAGGCACAGAAAAGATGAAAGAATTTATCTGCAGCAGATCTGCTGTCCCATGTTAAATCAAGTCTTTCACACGAAGGAAAATGATACCAAATGGAAATTTGGATCTATATTAAGGAATGTAGAGTGTTGTAAAAAGTAAATATATGGGCAAATATAAAAGATTTTTTTAATTTAAAAAATCTCTTTACAAGATTAAAAAACTAAACCTGTTGCCATTGAGTTGATGGTGACTCATAGTGACCCTACAGGACAGAGCAGAACTGCCCCATAGGGTTTCCAAGGAGCTCCTGGTGGATTCAAACTGCTGACCTTTTGGTTAGTAGCCGAACTCTTAACTATCACGCCACTAGGATTATTGAGTTTAAATTCTGTTTCCAGTCATGACGGAGTAAGAGGCACAGGATTACTCTTTCACCTGAAACAACCAAAAGAACCAAGCAAAATATGGAAACAATGTTTTTCCAAACACTAGGCATTGGCAATGAAGGACAGTGATCCCTGATAGATGGGAAATGAGGTGAACCGTATGACTGTCCCAGCTTATTGCCTTGAGAAAGTCCCCAGGCCATGGTGCAGGGAGGGAGGACCCACGAGGAGCCTGGTGGACTCCCTGAGTTGAGAAGCAGAGCTAAGAGCGTGAGCAGATCAAGTGGGCAAGAGTTCATAGGGCAGAGTACCACAGAGGATTGAGCTGCACAGAGACAGACTCAAGAGATACACCCATGTTCTATGTTGCATATGCATCAGGGGAATGATCCATGCGTCTACGTGAGGAAGCTATCAGACAGAGGCCAGGGAATCGATCACCCAAAACGTCCAGAGAAAAAGACACATTAGGTAGAGAAGAACAAAAATTAGGAAGACATAAGGTTTACAGTCTGAAACAATGCAAGCAAGATAGCGGAGCAACATTTTTAAAGTACTGAAGAAAAAAAAAGATATCAATCTGGAATTCTATACTCAGTGCAGATACCTTTTAAAAACAAATGTTAAACATAGACTTTTTCAGACACACAGAAACTGAAAGAATTCATCACCAGCAGATCTGTACCACAAGGAATATTTAAGGAAGACCTCTAGTAGAACAAAATCATAACAGAAATATAGACCTAGACTAATAACTGAGGTGTATCAGAAATGGTAATTACATGGGTAAATATATTAAGTTTTTTTCTTGGTATTTAAATCCCTTTAAAGGATAACTGACTGTTGAATATGCTGGGGAATGTCAAGGAAAGACCCTTGGATACTGGCACCAAAGTGATCATCCTACTGGGTCACGTGGCATAAGCGTGTGCCCAAATTCAGCTGATGGGGTTTGGGTAGAGTTCAGAGTGGGGAAAGGCAGATAACATGAACTGTGGGTGGAGCCCTTTGAGTTGATTCAATGTACTGGGTTATGGCTTTCACTGCTGACTATATACTTGGTATTGATGTTTTACATGCCTGTACCGTGAGTGCCTGTAAGTACCAAAGGTGATTCTCCTCGCTGGGAAGACCCAGATGTACAGAAGCGCTAACACAGCAACAGTGCAAAGGCAATTTAGTGGAGAAATGAGTCTTTTCAACAGATGAGGATGGGATAATTAGATAGCCATATGCAAAAAAAGAACCTTGATCCCATATTCTAAACATATACAAAATTTATCTTGAACTTGATCATAGACCTAAACATAAGATCTAATACTATAAAACTTCTAGAAAAAAAATAGGAGAAAATCCAAGTAACTTTAGCTTTCTTAAGATTTCTTAATGAAGACATCACAAGCAGAAATTATAAATAATAAAAAAAAAATTGGACTTTATAAAAATTTAAAATTTCTGCTCTTTGAACAATATTATGAAGAGAATAAAAAGGCAAGCCACAGACTGGGGGAAAAAGTTTTAGAAAACATATGTCTAACAAAGGATTTTTATCTAGAATATAAACTCTTACAATGAAAGCAGGAGGAATAACCTAATTAAACAACGGGCAAAAGATTTCAACAGACATATAATCAAAGAATTTACACGGATCACAAATAATCACATGAAAAAATGCTAACAAAATTAACCATTAAGAAAATATAAATTAAAACCACAATAAGATACCAGTATACCTACTAGAATGGATAAAATTAAAAAGAATTGACAATATTGAGTATGGGCAAGGATGTGGAGCAACTGGAACTCTCATATACTCCTGGCAGGAATGCAAGATGATAGCACTTTAGAAAATATTTTGGCAGTTTCTTATCAAGTTAAATATATGTCTACAATGTATCTCACTTTCACTAATTTACTCAAGAGAAATAATAACATGTGCCTACACAAAAACTAACGAGAATATACAAATAGCAGCTTTATTTATAATATCTCCATACTGTAAACAACCTAAATGTCTATCACAAGTGAATGGATAAACAAAATGTGATACATTCATACAATAGAATACTATTCAGGAACAAGATAAATGACTATTAATGCATGCAACAACATGGATGAATCTCAAAATAATTTTAAGTGAAATCATTCAGACAAAAAAAAAAGCACACATTAAAATGGGGATGATGCATATTTTAGCAAACTTACAAAGTTGCTGGGAGGATCAAATGAGAGTAAATTAGATTATGTATGCATGAGAGATTATTAACCATAACCAAACCAAACCAAACCCATTGCCATCAAGTTGATTCCGACCCATAGTGACCCTATAGGACACAGTAGAACTGCCAATAGGGTTTCCAAGGAGCAGCTGGTGGATTCGACCTGCCGATCTTTTGGTTAGCAGCTGAGCTCTTAACCACTGCATCATCAGGGCATGAGAGATTACCAGCCAGAGACTACACAAACATAAACTCTGTTATTGAGAACATTTTTAGTGATGTAATACAATTTCACTTTTCCATCATCTGTCAAAGTACTCTCCGAAACAGACTGTGATCATCTTATAGTTAATATTTATTAAGCGCTTATTATGGACTGGCTCCTGACCATTTATTTGTTTTATTTAAATGTCTAGAACAACTCCATGGGATACGTGCTGTTACCAACATTTTATAGGTGAAACTGAGGCTTAGAGCAGAGCAGCAATTTGGCCTAATGCTCAGAAATCAACTTCTACTTCTCATTTCTCTGATAGTAAATACGGCGATCAATCCAGATCAATTTATTATTAATTCTGGTCCCCTCTATTCCACTTATGTCCTGACACTACCTGCACATGCAGCACTTCTTCCTCTGACCCCAACCACCAGAGCTAGGTCAGATCTCACAAGTTCAAGGGCACAGCCCTCGAGACTGCCATGTTTGCCCAAGACCTCAGACGCCAGCTGCCCAAGCTTGGAGGTCCCCATGACAAACTCACTTCTGACCTGCTGACTGCAAATCTGGGGTTTTCCTACTGACCCTTCGGGATGCCAACAATAAGTTCAGGGGTACCAGGCCTCCCACTACTCCCTCTGGTTCGATAATTCGCTAGAATGACTCACAGAACTCATGGAAGGCACTGTGCTTCTATATGATTCTTTTTTATTATTATATCATTATTATTATTTTATTATAGCAAAAGGGATACAAATGAAGAGACACATATGGCTTCGGCAAGGTCTGGGAGGGTTACCAACATGAAGCCTCTGTGTCCCAAAAAGGGATGTGTTAGCCTCAGACATGCATTAATGTCTTTCACCAACCAGGAAGCCCAAGGAGCTTCCCTGTCCAGTCTATACTGGAGCCTTTCTACATAGGCATGATTGATTAAACTCAACCTTCAGCCTCCTCCCTTCACGCTGGGCTGATATCATGTGGTGGTTCTTTCTGGCCTGGCCAGCCTCTACCCTAGAGGTACCTCTGTACCTCATTGGCATAAACCTTCAGGTGTGGTCTGGGGGCCTCATCAGAGACATTTCAATTACTGGGAAAATTTCAAGGTTTTAGAGATTATCTCTCAGGAATCAAGGGCAAAGACAACTTTTTTGGGTCAAGTTAAACTTTTTACCCCTAACAAAAAAGAGAACTCAACTGGGAACCAGAAGGCCTTGATTGTAGACTTCACTCTTCAGGCTTTGGGAAGGTCTTTAGCTGTTCTGTCCCTATTACCTGAGAGCAATTATAACTACTCAACTGAAGTCACCAAGCTTTGGTGATGATCAAATGATACAATGTAAAACCACTTCACAAACTTACAGTACTAGCATTTTTCTATCTAAAACTACATAAACACGAATATCTACGCAAATGAGTATCTACATGAACACAAAAACATGTACGCACCACTAAAGGTAATTTAAAGAAAGTGATAGGAAAGGTCAAATAACACCATGCTTTCTCATCGCCCTTATTTAAATGTATTACACTTTAAAAAGTATTATAAAATACATTATTTTTATTAAGTTTATATATTTACTTAAAAATTCTCAAATTATTTACAGAAATGTATCAGAAAAATGGTGCACAGATGTTCGTTTAAATTAACGTTTCCCATTAGCAATACTGTACTACTCTCTATGGTGCCAAGTCTTTCAATAATTAACAAACACATTAGCCAATAAATTGTTGGTGGCTCTTAATATGTAACGATCATTTACCAAGTTATAACTTGGCAGTAAAAATATTTCTCAAAGATGTTACATACATATTAACAAATTAATCGTGATTCATTCACCTTGCCTTTCCATGTCTCCTGGTAGCTTGTTAAGAATCCATGAAGTTAGTTTTTGTAGCTCAGTTTTGCTCAGGTCATGGTGAACACCTGGGAAACTATGAAACTGTGTGCTCACTCCTAGCGACCTTAACACTGAATTTGTCTCTTCAGCCCAAGAATAAGGAACTAACTCATCTGCAGTCCCATGACACTGGAATAATTCAGGAAGCACACCATCAGCTTTCTGAAGAGCCTAGACAAGAGGATATAAAAACGGAAAAGTTTAAGAAGATTCTTTTTTAGAAAATCATTCTGGGAACACAGAGAGGGCAGAAATACTCCAATTCTACCAAAGGGCCAATAACTAAAGGGGAAAAGGGGACAGCGGCTGTAATCACTTATATTTTTAATATGTAATACTTGTCTTTTATTCTCTCCGCTTGACACTTTGCTGAACGATATTCTTTATTCAGAGCATTTCCTGAAGACTAATGGCCAGCTGGAATTAATCAATGTGACTCATTTGGCCACACACTCCCAGGAATGCTCTGTGCCTCAACTGTTATTGCTTAATTATGAATTGTGTTTTTAGTTTCAATGTGTGTATGTCTCACATTTTCTTGTTTTGTTTTTTTAGATCTGGTACTCACCTGGTAAACAGCAGACGTTTTATTCAGAAAACTGGAAAGAGCAAATACTCCTGCCACATCTTGATGATTCCTATACGCTAAATGCATGGCCATGCACCCTCCCATAGAAAATCCTCCTAAAAGCAGCAAAAATTAACTTATCAGAAAAAGCAGAATATATGCAATAATAATTTAGAACACTGGCACAAATGGTTATGTGCTTGACTGAAAGGCTGAAAGTTCGAACCCACCAGAGACACCTCAGAAGAAAGTCCCGGCAATCTGCTTCCCAAAGGTCACAGCCTTGAAAACCCTATGGAGCACAGTTCTCCTCTGACACACCTGGGGTCGCCATGAGTCAGAACTGACTCCACGGCAACTGGTACTGCTATCTATGTCCATTCTCCATATAGATATTTTAAATGTTTGGAGATCTTTAAAGAGATACGGTGCTGAAAACCAGTTTAGTCTATTTTGGGTCTCTGAGAAAATGACCTGGTATAAGTAAATAACAGTTCTATCCACATTACCATTGGTAAAGAGATTATTGTTATAAAAGGAGCTGGAACCGAACAAAGAAACGATGTTTGTCAAATAAAAAATGCTTATCATAATTCAAAATGTGAGCCCTAGTACAAGTGTTGTTTATTTAAACTTCTAATGTCTACTTATGTTTTGTTTATACTTACAGGAGTTCTCACACCGAAACTACAATTAATAACATGTACTTTTTGTCTTACTTGCCTGGCTGTGAGCTCCCTGAGTTTTTAAACAATTTATTATGTGTCTGACACATAATAAATACTCAGTGCTGTTTGAATTAGGAAGGATCATCCAAAATTTGGTCGGCTATTTAAAATATTTTTGAATTGCAGTATTATTTTGCAAACTGATTTACAATGGTATAATAAAAATAAAACACATATATCTCTATGTCCTTTTTAAAAACAGAGTTTGGAAAAAAAGATCATTTTTTTCATTTGACAAATTTTTATCGTCTTTTATGTGTCAAACACTGTGCTAGTCACTGAAGGTATGCAGATAAACAGATGGGCCCTCCTGTTAAGGGGGAGTGTTGTAGGGAAATAGATATACAATAGAATATGGAGACAGGTGCACAGTGTGACATCTGTGATGTGATAAGTGTGACTGAGGAAATGGATTTGTAAACTTAATTTTAATTAGTTTAAACGGAAATGGCCACAAGTGGCTAGTGGCTACCATATCAGACAAAGTTCGACACCATTTAAGCTGCTCCAATGATTTAAAAAAGCTTCAGATTTGTAAACTGAGCAAAACAGAAAATTTATCTTTCATAAAATGATAAGGTTAGAGACAAAATAAAGATCAAAAGATAAACTATGAATAACAGAAATGATGATAAGCAAAATTGAAATTAAAAATTATTTTAAAAGCATACTTATTAAGAAAATTTTACACATTAAGTACCTTATCACTCATTTTTTATTGATCAGGGTTACCTTATCCCTTATGTGGTTTCAGGGTCCCTTGATAGTGCCAGCCTAACTCAGAAAAATGGAAAGATTTTCCCATGTTTGAAATGTCATTATGAACACACATAAAAGCATCCTGTAGATACTGCACCTCATGTTCAATTTACGTAATTTACAGTAAAATGTGCCCATTGAAATCTTATTATTTTAAAATTGAATCTAAATCTGTTACCCATTTATAAACTGGTGAGGTAATCTATAATCCATCAGCAGCTGTCTTTGACAATACAATCACCTTTAGCATAAGACACTACTGGGAAAAAGGACTTTGTGTATTTTTTTCTTTTCTAATAGAAAAAAACTTTAAAACAAGAGACTAGTTATCTAATTCAGTTTTCTGTCTAAGCATCTGTTATGGATTGAATTTTGCCCCCCAAAAATATCTGCCAACTTTGCTAGGCCATGATTCCCAATATTGTGTCATCTGATGTGGTTTTCCAGTGTGTTGTAAATCCTACCTCTATGATGTTAATGAGGCAGGATTAGAGGCAGTTATGTTAATGAGGCAGGACTCAATCTACAAGATTCGGCTGCATCTTGAGTCAATCTCTTTTGAGATATAAAAGAGAGAAGTGAGCAGAGAGACAGAGGGACTTCATACCACCAAGAAAAAAGCATCAGAAGCAGAGCGCATCCTTTGGACCCGAGGTCCCTGCGCTGAGAAGCTCCTAGACCAGCGGAAGATTGATGACAAGGACATTTCTTCAGAGACAACAGAGAGAGAAAGGCTTCCCCTGGAGCTGGTGCCCTGAATTCAGACTTCTAGCCTCCTACACTGTGAGAGAATAAATTTCTCTTTGTTAAAGCCATCCACTTGTGGTATTTCTGTTATAGCAGCACTAGATAACTAAAACAGCATCTAAAATGTAATAATATACTGTTCAATAAGTAAATACCAAATAGTAATTTCATTGTAGGGAATGATTAAAATGTATATTTATAGTTGGTGAAGAAATATTAAAATATCCAGAGTTAACATTTCAATAGACATTTAAGATTAACAAGCTGAATAAAATGTGTGAAAAATAATAAATCTGGCTTTTGTGAACTCTTTAAATAAAACAAACAATAAATATAAAAAATTATACTAAGAAAACTAAGATAATGTATCTGAAAGTAAAATCCTAAGAAAAAAACACAATTCAAGTTTATCATCAACTGAACAGGATTTTTAAAATCCTCTTTTAAGATCTGCTAGTTTCCTCTATTTTAAGCTATCACTAACTTGGTAGCTTAAAATAATGGAAATTTATTCTCTCAGAGTTCTGGAGGCTAGAAGCACCCAATCAAGGTATTGGCACGGCCACGCTCCCTCTGAAGGCCCCAGGGAAGAGTCCTCTCGTGCCTCTCCCTAGCTTCTGGTGGCTCCCAGCAACCCTTGTTGTTCCTTAGCTTGTAGCTGCATCATTCTCGTTTCTGCCTCTGTCTTCACAGGGCATTCTTCTCCACATCTCTGTGTGTCCTTGTCTGTCTCTTACAAGGGCAATCTCATTGGATTTAGGGCCAACCCTAAACCAGTATGATCTCTTCTTGAGTCTTACCTTAATTATATCTGCAAAGACTATCTTTTCAAATGAGGCCACCTTCTGAGGTTCTGGGTGGACATGAATTTTGGAGAGACACTATTTAACCCACGGTAGTAATAAAATCCATTTCTCCCATATTTTAACGATCATTCCATTTAATGTATATACTATTATAATTATTCCTCAGACCAAACTGGTTCAAACTGGTAAACTGGTAATAAAGGTTCAAAAGATTTAAGCACATAGAAATCATGCCTAACATATTGGTTTGTATATTTTCTCTAACATAAAATGTGCAGGACAAACAAAATATTTATTTTGCTCTACAAAAGGCTGTTCCAACAGCAGTCTCAAGTCTTGAAAGTTCTGGTAACTGTTGCTGAAGAAACATCAGTTGTTTAAAATATACATATGCTCAAAGAAAGTGAAGTATCATTTCCAAGTTGCAGCCCCCCAAAGGCTTCAGAGGAGTTTTGTATCTGGCCAGGAAAAGTCAGCCAGGTCATTTTGGTGGTAGGGTTCATCTTGGAAATTCTACCTAACCCTTCATCTTACTTTTATTTTAAATTTTATTATAAAATTAACATATTACTATGCACCCACTATGTCAAGTGCAGAAAAGACACAGATAAAGCTGAGTCATCGAAAATCTTTTAAAATTCACTTAACAGTTAAACTCACCCTACATGTACAATTTCATATCTTGTTTTTTCTTTCATGTAATACTGATTTGAAAGTCTTTCCACAAAATTATAAAAATTCATAATTATTTTTTATTCACTGAACTCATATTTATTGAGTTCTATGTATATACAGTATTTAATGGTTATTTAATATTCAATTGATTAACCAAAACAAACAAACCAAACCCATTGCCATCAAGTCAATTTTGACTCATAGTGACCCTACAAGACAGAGTAGAACTGCCCTATAGGGTTTCCAAAGAGTGGCTGGTGGATTCGAACTGCTGATATTTCAGGCTTAGCAATCAACCTCTTAACCACTGTGCCACCAGGGCTCCACCAGTTATTGTATTAATGGGCCATAATTCCCTTAACCATCGCCTTTATGATGGAAATTTAGGTCATCCCTGTAAATTACTCAAGTGTAGTTCCAGAAGCACGTGCTTCTCCCTGCTTCAAAATTCTGATATCCTATTCATTTTATCAAAATTCTGAAAATCTGTTCATATACTTTGTGGAGTTCTATACATCCTAGATCAAAGTTAAGCATAGATTATATAAATACTTTCTCTTAACAAATTATTATCATCTAGTGGCCAAAGAAAAAGGAATCTCATCACGGTACAAAGTTCTTGACTAGGTCAAAGGCCCTGGATTCTAATCCCAACTCTATTTTATATAAGCCAATTATCTCTGAATGTTACTTTCCTCATCTCTGAAATAACAATTCCTGTTTTTCTATTACAAGGCTCATGAGATATTTTGTAAGAAAGCAACTTGTATAAATTAAACGGTATAAATGTAGAACACTAGATACGTAAAAACAATTAAAAAACTGACAAGTATAATCCTCCCTATCTATTGTATTTGCCTTCTTGGTGGTCTCTGGACTTCAGAGTAGTCAGCCCTCCACAATGTCGCCAGTATCACCTTTCTATAATGTACATCCAATCGCTTCATTCTGTGTATAATTCAACAATCCTAGGGGTTGAGGTGCATAGCAAACTAATACTTCCTCGGATATTCTAATGTGCTCCTGCTTCCTTTCATAAATGTGCTTCTCTCCTTGTTTACCAGTTAAATTCTTACTCATTCTTTGAGACTCAGTTTGAAGCTCACCTCTTCTAAGAGGCAGTTCCAGAAAGATTTTTCTCTCCTCACCTCTCACACTGTGCTTAAACTTTTCATTAACATTTGGAGATCAAACTTAGCACTAGAAGTATCATTTTTGATCTGACCAACCTGGGTAGGCTAGAGAGATCACACAAAAATTGTTTCTAAAACTGAGTTTAATGTAATAAAACACAACTAATCAAAAGAACAACCACAGAAAAAGAATGGCTCCCACCTACAACAAATATAGGGTAGCTTTGTTTACAAAGCTACACAGG